GGCGAGCCTTGTACTGGTGTCGACCGTGTCGTGTCCCTTGGATGCCGCATTAAAACACCTTCGGGAAGCTTCCAAGTCCCCTTGGATAGTGGCGACCCATGCCCTCTTGGTGTAGAACTTCATTTTTAAATGGATGGTGGATGGCACCGTGGTCAGCTCTGTCAGTGTCGGCCTTCCCAGAATGCAGTTGTAGAGGGAGGGGAAATCATTGACGAGGAAACACACCTTGACTTGTCTCATAGCAGTATCCTCGCCGAACGTGACCATGAGCTCGACGTATCCCCAAGGCTTGGAGGTCGAGCCATTAAAGCCCTGCAGGTCCGACCCCACGTATGGTGAGAGGTGAGAGTCGTCGAGCTGCAGGGTTCGGAACAGCTGGCTGTACATCACGTCGATGGAACTTCCCTCATCGACGAGGATGCGATGTACGTCGAAGTTGGCCATTCTCGCCCTTATCAGCAGAGGGATGGCCGAATTAGGGGGCCCTCCGGGGAGCTCCTTGAGGTAGAAGGTGATCGGCTCTGATCTGCCTCTCACTTTCTCGAAGGTTACCGTTTGAGGGGGGGCCGTGTCGACCAACTCGTCCAGCTTCCTCTTAGCTGAATTTATGGTCAAATCATTGAACCCTCCACTGTTGATGACCATGGCGGAGGGGAAGTGTTCCCACCTGTTGTGTGTAGACAGAGGTTCTTGCAAATGTTCGGGGACGTAGAAGTCCTCGGGTCTTGTGACGGAGAACGCGGTTTGGATGGGAACCAACTCGTCAGATGGTCGGGCATCCTCTTCTTCTTCCCTCGTCTCACGGGTATCCTGACGAGGAGCGTCGTTTCACTGGTATTATGCAAGCCTTCCCCTTTTTATGAGGGTCTCGATGGCGTCCTTGAGGTGGACGCAGTCTTTGGTCAGGTGCCTGTGGCTCCGGTGGTACTGGAAGTATTTGCTTCGGTCCACCCCGGGTTTGGCAGGAGCTGGACGGGGACGTTTGACGCTGCCATTCTTGAAATTTGTACTTGCGCACTCCGCAAAGATACGCTCGCGGGAAGCCGTGAGTGAAGTGTATTATGTGAACCGTCCCGAGGGTTCCCTTTGTTCCCGGGCGTCTCGGGGTTTATCGTCCCTTCTCTTTTCCCCAATTTGTCGAGGAAGGGCGGTGTCTTGTCGCAGATTGCTGCTGGATCTGCGGTTTCTGGGGTCTCGGGCTCTGTTGGCCGCTTCTCTTTCCTCGTAGTCCATGTAGGCTCTGACCTTCTCGAGGAGGACATCAAACGTTCGGGGTGGTTCGATGCCTACGGCTTTCCTGAACTCGGTGCCGGGGAGGAGACCACTCTCCAGCAGGTATCTCTTCATATGGTCCGTGAAGGGGACCTGGATGGCTTCCCGGTTGAAGCGGTTAATGAATTCTCTCAAGGTCTCATCGTGCTTCTGGATGATGGCCTCGAGCGCTGCTTCGGTCTTCGGGTGTCGTCGCGAAGTAGTGAACGAGTTGATGAACTGGTTCTTCAAGTTTCGCCAAGAGGTAATTAACCCCGAAGCGAGACCTTTGTACCAGTCCATATCTACTTTCCTCAGGGTCGTGGGGAACAACTGACATTTGATTGGTCCCCCGACGTTGTGGTAGTGCAGCATGACTTCGAACCCGTCTATGTGGTCGACGACGCCATCATACTCTTTTAAGTGGGGAGGCTTCTCCATGCCCGGTGGAATGGGCGCCTCCATGATAGATTTTGACAAGGGACCGCGAGGGTCATCCTCGTCACTCTGTTCCGGGAGCGGGACGGGGATCCAATGTATTGTCGGTCACGGTGGTCCTTGTCGCGCGGATCGTTTCTCGAGCGGTGTGACCGTTGATGGTTTCCCCCGTGTCTGTCTCCGGGAGGTCTTCGTTCTTTCCGTGAAGGGCCATGGTCGCGCCTTCCTGCTTCGATGAGTGGTTCTCTCTCCAAAGGGGGTCGTCGTCCGATTGGTCGAGGCGACGGGCTTCGAGAGAGGTCTCAATTCTGTCTCTGCGGGGGAGATCGGGGGCGTTCGTCCTCTTGTTGAGGGTGAGGAGATTGAGGTCTTATGTGCCTTCTAGGGGGCCTTCGTTCGTCCTCGAGTGCTCTCAGTATTTCCCCCTGGGCAAAGATGAGATAGTTGGTTTGGTTAATCGCCGCGAACAATGCCCTGGTCGTGGCGTCTGCCCCGACGGGGACAGGGACTTCGTGGAATTGGATGACTGGGTAGTTTAGAGGAACTGGGTGATCTTCTTCAAGCCGAGGAGGGATTGATGAAGATGAAGTCGTGGCTCTGTCCCGGTAGTTAGAAGGTCCGGTGATGTTGGCGCCAGGGACCGTATTATGGCCCGCGATGCCGGCGTTGTCAAGGCTGGCATTATTATCGGCGATGTTGTTGTTAGCTTCGATGACACGGACGTTCTGGTTGTCCTGAGTTTGGTCAGCCATGATAGTCGAGGATTGTTAGCTTTTGTCTTTTTAAACAGAGAGAAGACGGGGAAGCTTAGTTTCCCACAGACGGCGCCATTGATCGTGCCTGATCAGAGTTGGACCGTCACAGCTGGCATTTGGCTGAATTTGAAGGAGATGAAGGGGGGGGGGGGGTACCTGCAAGATACTCTGATGGCAAAGTGAGAGACGGAATGAGCAAACAAGTATGTATGTAGGTGTGAATGAGTGAATACCTGACCCTCTCGAAATAGAGGGTATTTATAGCCCCCAGCGTTGGGCCAAGGTCTCTTTATTGGGCTGATCAAAATAGGCCCAACAAAGGAACTTCCAGGTTCTACGTGAGTAGTGGAGACCTGCACGTGGCCCCCTACTTGGATGATGCTCTCCGTAAGACAAGGAGGATAGAGACGCAATCTTTCTGGGACCCTGAGGACTCCGTGAAATCTGGAGAGGTTGAAAGTCAGCCCTACAAGGAGGGTGCTCGGGTAGAGCGTGCGCTCGTCAGAGACATTCCTCGCGGGCACCGACGGGAAGTAATCGTAGCCGACCAGATACCCATGATCGGGGTGTGCTCGGAGGATATACTGCTCAGCATGATATGTTGACAAGCTTGGATTGGACCTCACTGGTGATTGGGCCACAGGCAGACCCAGTCCAGAACATAATATAAGAAGTAATAAAAAATAGGTTTAAATATATTTTTGGTCTTTTTATTTTCATATTTTTTAAGTTTTAATTCTTCTATTTTAAAAGTTAATTTTTTTATTCCTAAATTTTATCTCATTTGAGATTTCATTAATCCCCTCTAATTTTGCATATGTGGTATCTTTATTAATGACACGACACTGCTGCAATAACTCCACATTAGATAAACACACATTGTAAAGAGTTACTGTAGCACTGACATGTCATTAATAAAAGCGTCTACGTATGCAAAACTATAGGGGCACCAACAAAATCCCGAGTGAAGTAAACTTTTAAAATGGAGAGACTAAAATTTAAAAATTTGAAAATAGAAAGACCAAAAATGTATTTAAACCTAAATTTTTTTTTGAAGTTGACGAAACATCAACCAAAAATGTGTTATAAAAAAAGAAAAAGGCACATGGAGTAACAAAGTAAAAAGTAGGAGTGTTCGCGGTTCAGTTTGGAACAGTTTTGAGGTAAAAATTTATCTGATCTAAAGATAAATTTATTCGCGGTTCGGTTCAATTTGGATGATTAATTAAAAAAATCCGATCTGATCCAATCCAATTTCATGCGGTTTATTTTAGATCGATTTTTAGATATCTAAATTATAAATTATATTTTTTAATAAGATTATAAAAATGATAATAAATAATAGATTTAATATAATATATAACATATAGTATATAAAAAATTAATATTATAAAATAAGAATGATCGATTATGGTTGAAACAATAAAATAATAAAAATAGATAGATTTAACTAATCTAAAAAATAATATTAAAAAATTAAATATCATCGATTAATAAATTAACACAACATATTATATTAATAAAAAATAAATAAGTATAAAATATGTATTTACGGTTTTGTTCGGTTTTGAAAAATCAATTTGAAATTCTATCCGAACTGTACGGTTTTCATAAAATGACATCCAAATACATTCAATAATATTTAGTTTTTTGCGATTTTCGATTTTTTTTGATCAATTTGCAGTTTTTATTTAAATTGGTTTGAATTTGAACACCTATAATAAAAGGACGAAAATTTAAACAGGTGAAAATACATTGGAATTAAAAACCTTAGAAGTACGGGTGGCAAAACGGGTTGTGGTCCGCTAGATTGGCCGCGCACCCGTCATAAAATGACCGATTGAATTGAAATTTTAGAACCGCCGCTCGCTAAAACTCGTCTTGCCAAAACTCGCAGACCGCCAAAACCCGCCGCTCGTTAAAACCTACTAAACTTATCCGTTCAGTCTATCCTACTTTAGTCCCTTCCCATTTTAGTTAATTCTAATAATTATAATTTTTGATGATTTTATTTTATATATTTATTTGTGAATATATGCAATATTTTTTAAGTAAGATTTGTTAAAAATATGCTTTACAAAAAGTTGTTCTAAAAAATAAGTAAAAAATTTAATTGAAATATAAAAAGAAAATTATTAATTTATTAAAAAATAAAAAATAATTTAATAAAAAAAATAGGTGGATAAATTCACCGGTCACCAACCCACTACCATGAGAGGACAAACTTGATTTTTATGCCCATTACACTTGAAGGATTTGTCTATCCCAATTCTTTTTTTCAGATTTAAGGCGGGACGGAGGTAGAACGGGACAAGCGGTACGTTTTACCAACCCCGTCTACTTAAAAGTAGCCGTTGCTTTTTTACCTTTTGTGTCTTCCTTTAAATTCAATTAGGGTTAATATGTTAGTATAAGTTGGTGAGTTTCTCAACGGACACTAGAACGTTTTATTTCAAATCCTAATTCTCATTTCTTCTTCGCAAGATTAACCTCACCATTCTATAATCTCTCTGTGTAACCGATTCCACTCATTAACACATCAATTGATTGATTACTATGGCCACCATTAATGGGAACACTGATGCTGCTCAACCCATCGTTGCTCCTACAAAACACCCTCTTCCTCCTCCTAAGACCGTTGATTCTAAATCTGTTCTCAAAAGGTTCCACATTCACTCTTAAATTTTTTTTCAAACGAGGTTTTACAGTCATGTCATATAATTTTACTAGCTAAATGTTATCAAATAGTATATGTGGATTTGTATATGAATTGTGATATGTGATGTAGCTTAGCGTTTTTGAAGTCCATTAGTTATTTATTATGATTTTTAATCTTAGTCAGTACCCTAAACACTTGTGATGAATCAAATGGTCTAAATTATGTTTTATTTGGACCACCTGATTTCATCAAACTGATCAAATTGCTTGAAAGTAAGTTCCCACCTGTCAAGACATTTATTTCTAACACTTTCTTTGTTTTGTGTTGGGGGCAATTTGATCTCTGTGTTGAACAGGTTGCAATCTGAATTGATGTCTTTGATGGTAAGAACCTTAAATCCACTATCATTATTGTCTCTTTATAACAAAATATAAAATCTTGTGAACTTTTTTTAGGTCTCTTCCTTAGTGCTGCTTGTAGATCCCAGTTAGTTGCTGCCAAAAAAATGCTTAATTAATAAAATGGATCATAGTTTTAAATTGTGGTTCCTAATGCGGTTGCAGGTATTGCGATCGCGGCTATTGCGGTTGCTGTGATGCGCAGCGCGGCTCTTGTGGTTGGTGCGATGCGCATTGCGGCAAGATTAGTTTGTGCCAAAAAATGTACTTAATTAATAATATGGGTCATCGGTTTTAAATTGAGGTCAGTGATGCGGTTGCAGGCGTTGTGATCGCGACTATTGCGGTTGCTGCGATGCGAATTGCAGCTCTTGGGGTTGAATTTTGATTGAGAAGATTTTGAAATACTCACTTAAAAACACTTAATATTAAGATTTTTAAGAAGTAAATTGAATTTTGGGTTCTAAATTTTGAGTTTTGAGGAAACTAATTGAAGAAACCTCAAAGTTGTCTGATGCGGTTCATAATGTAGAAGGACGCATGATTTTAAATCACACTGCTATTGTAGCCCGATGCGTTTGTGGATACTACTACATCAACAATATTGTGGTTGCAATTGTGGTTCTGGATCGCAATTTAAAACCATGGTATGGACCACTTGAAAGTATGTTAATTGTTTGCTTGTTTTTGTGTTTTGACTGTCAGATGAGTGGTGAAACTAGTATATCTGCTTTTCCTGAGGAGGACAACATATTCTTGTGGAAAGGAACTATTAAAGGAAGCAAAGATACAGTATTTGAAAACACAGACTACAAACTATCACTTTCTTTCCCAAATGATTATCCTTTTAAGCCTCCTAAAGTTAAGTTTGAAACAAACTGTTTCCATCCCAATGTTGATCTTCATGGCAATATATGTTTGGACATTCTTCAGGTAATGTGAAACTAAAAAGATCTAATCAGCATTTTCATGAACAATTGTTGTTGCCATTATTCTATTGACATTGTACTGTTCTTATGGGTTTGGACATACTTCATGTAATGTGAAAAGATCTAATGAGCATTTTCCTGAGCAATTGTTCTTGTCATTATTCGATTGCCATTGCATAATGTTCTAATTGGTTTGTTATGTGTTTTTAGGACAAGTGGTCCTCAGCATATGATGTAAGAACAATTCTACTATCCATTCAAAGTCTTCTTGGAGGTAAATAGTTTGATCTTATTGGGATGCATAGATAAATTGAATTCTTGTTTTCTGTGTACTGTTTTCTAATCCTTTCTTATTTATGATAATGTAGAGCCAAACATTAGTTCACCTCTAAATCCACAAGCCGCACAGCTTTGGAGCAATCAAGAAGGTAATTAATAAACATAGCCTTACAATCATCATGAGCCTTGTGATGAATATAATTTGTGAATCTGAAATAGCTGGAATGATTTTTTGGGGTGTGTTGAACAGATTACAGAAAGATGGTGGTCAAGTTATACAAATCGCGAAATGCTACTGCTTAAACATCCTTGGAGTTATCAATCTAGGTGGAAAAAGACTCTTCTCTGTGTGAACCCTAAGGATGGGAAATCCATCATTAGTTTTAGGAGTTTCATTTGTTCTTTTTTTATTCTTCTTGATGGAACTGCATTGATGATATCTTCTAACTTTATTTATGTCCAAACTAGAGTGAAACCTAATTTGTACAAATGTTGTCAAATTTGAGTTTTTACTTCATTTCACGTTTTCTAATGTGAAATTGAATTGGAAAATAGATACATAAAGTAAAATATAAAGGAGTAAATTATTGAACATTTCCTTCAACTCCTTCAAACTAAAACACGAGCCTTTTGGAGCCTTTTGAACAGAGGCGGATCTAGATACTAATACTAGTGTGATTAAACATGAAAGAAATTATTATGAAAATAAGAAATGGAGTAATAATTATATTCAAAATTAGACCGGACCAACCAGATAAACAGAGATTCATCATTCTGATTTAATTGTTGGATTAATAAACTATTAAACCGGTGAGAGTCTGCCAAAAGTGAATAAAACTAATAAAAACTAGCGAATCTTCGATTTTAGAAAATTGGCAGAGTAAATGTTTTATTTGTTGGACAAAACTTTCCATCTTTGAAATTATATTTATTAGACACCACTTATTTTATTATTCAGTTTATGTTATAATTTTTTCAAAATTTATTTTGATTTGTATTTTATACTATTTTGTCCCGTGTGATGACTATGTTTAGAATTCGAATTTAAAGAATAAATTTGTAAATATTTTGAAAATTTACAATTTGATAGGTTTCGTGATTTTGTAGAGATTGAGTCAGCTGGTTCGACTCTTTTATATATTTTTGTTAGGCTGATCAGTTTTTCAATTGAGTTATTCGGTTTATTCAAAAAAATTATCCAATTTGATCAATTTAGTGATTCGGTTTGACAAAAACCTTTTAATTTGACCAACAAATTAGTAACTAGTACCTCACCCTCATCGATTTATCTTGATGTAAATCCGCCCATGTTTTGAAGATGCAAAAATTGATTAAAAAATAAATATAAATATAAATTCCTACAAAAATTGATAACAAAAATAAAAAGAAATCTAACTATAACTATAAATTATTGTACATCTACGACGACTTAATTCAATTCACGTAGAAAATTGATGATAGTATCAACAAGAAGTATAATTTTCATGCAACATGAGATTGTTCAAGCTATTCGAATAGTGGATGAAGAATGAGACAAATAACTTATTTGTATTATTTTCCAATCCATTGTCTTTCAACTTTAACAAATTCATTTAAAATGTTAGAGTTATGTTTTCAAAATAATCCATTTGCATTTATTTAGTTTTTATTTTCTGAATATTTTTTTCTGGTCTGTTTTTATTCAATATTCTTTGTGACTCTTTTTGTTTTTTTCCCTTCTTTTCAACTGGTTATTTACAGCTGATTAGGATGATTTAGAGAGGAGCATATAATTGAAATTTTTGGTTTTTGTGTTATATATTTCTCTGAAATCTAATTTTTTACAAAGTTTTGGTTTTGATTTTGAAATTGAGTTGATTTGTTTTTGGATTTACAAAGTTTTGTTTTTAAATGGATTTAGCATTTTTATTGGTGCAGTGGAGGGAACCATGTTTTTAAATGGATTTAACATTTTTATTGGTATAGGGAGTCATGGTTAAGGTTGAATTATACAATAATGACCGTTGATATTTCTAATAATCTTTTTCCATCTAAAATGATGAATCTCTTCCCACTGAAAATTTTAATTAATTTGAAATTAAAGAGAACTATGCGATTTTACTTACATTCAAATGACCAACATAGATTATATATAATTTAGTCATAAAATAAATTAAATTAATTTATTACTGTAGAAGAATAATCATTTGATATTTTTTAATATAGAAGAATTTAGTCATAAAATGTATTAAATTAATTTATTATTATAGGAATTTATCCATAAATTTAGATGAATTCAAAAACTATAGGCGCCCGATGGGCCGGACCTATTTCTCCGACGAACCGATAAAATATTTATTTAAATTGAACTAATATTAGAGATCATATGTTCAATGACTTCTTCTGAATTACTATAGCATATAACTTCTAAATTATCACACAAATTTAACAAACATAATATTATTCAATTTATTGAATCTAATCAAATTATTATCAATTTTAATTTGTTATTAAACCAATATGTTTTTTTTGTGTATAATATATTTTTTTTATAATGTTCGTTAATAGAAATTGTAAAATTAAAATTCTAAACAATTATAAAAATTATAGACATGTTCGATGGGCTAAACGTGTTTTTCCACCATATATTTGATTTAATAGCAATTGTCAAATTATATCAAATATATTCGTATAATTTTTTGTAACGGAAATAATTGCAAAAATAGGTAAATTGGAAACGTGGGTATTAGATTTTTTTTAATATATGGAAAGTCATTAAAAAATTAATAATTAGTATTTATTATAAATTAATTAAAAATGAATATTTTAAAACGTGATTGTAGGTTAAATGGTTTTTTTTGTTACAAGGAGGGTGGAAGCCCGGAAGAGAAGAAAACTACACTAACACGACTCTACTGAAAAGAGAACCATTTGCATCCATATCAACGAACCGTTTGTTGAAGTCTGGAACATGCTCATTAAACTCTAACATTGTATTAATGTCAACACTGACCCTCGCAAGAGCATTAGCACATTGGTTTGTTTCCCTATAATTATATTTAACTTTCACTTCTTCACGAAGATCTATCTCTTTAAAGATTTAAAGAAGTAAGCTATAGCCATCCACATCTTTGCCGTGTCTAGTTTCCAGAAGCTTGACAATTGGTTTAGAATCAATACTTAATTCCACCATCAACATACCAAGCCTTCTTGTCATCCTCAATCCTTCCAAAATCCCCCAAAGTTCTTCTCTAAACGCAGTGCACGTTCCAACATTATTGGCAAACACACCCACACTTTTACGAAACCTGTCTCGAATAATACTGCCACAGCCAGCAGCACCATTTTCTCTTCTAGCTCCATTTGTATTTAGCTTCACCCAAGTGCTATTAGGAGGCTCCCATTTCACATAAACTACTTCCTTCCCAGAATACTCCATTATATTTGAATTTGTGATTGTTTTATCATATTCCTCAATCTGATGCACGATATACATGAAAGGAGAGAAAGGCCTTTGGAACATCTCACCATGCACTTCTTTGTTCCGCTACATCCATATAAAATAACAACCAATAGCCCAAATCCTACTCTATTTAGGATATGCTTTTATATTAAAATCAATTCAATCTTCTAAATTCAAGCTGAAAAAAGCTACATGAAGGTGCCTTGGGACATTATTCCTCTAGACTTCATCTGTTTTAGTGCAGTCCCTTACCATATGAAGAGTAGTTTCACTTGTACCTCCGCAAAGATCGCAACCCACACTCCCAAATCCTCTTATACTCTTGAGAATATTCTTCCAAACTCGAGTGTGAGCAAGCTACCAAATGAAACTTCTAACCCTCTCTTGAACTTTGAGCTTCCATATCAGGCTCCACCAATTATTATTGACATGCATGTTAGATGTTGATAATCCCGCATAAACCTCCTTAACAGAATAACTATCCTTGCTTATGCATGCAAGGAAGAACTCATCATTTCCATCTTCTTGACTTGGAGGCAGAAGAGATTTTATCTGCTGTATCAAATTCGCCAGCATTCAATCCTCCATCTTTTCCCAATCCCAATCCCCCTACTGTTAACCAAATCCTTAAGCTTAACTCCTTGCAGCCAATCTAGAATATGGATATCTAACTCTTGTATAATCACATTATTTCCCAACCAACAATCGATCCAGGCATTGATAGATTCTCCACTGCCTATGCTCCAAACACTATATCCAACCATCTTATTCCAAGTTCTTACAATATTATTCCAAATTGGAGAACAATTCCCATGTAAATTATACTCATTCAGGTTTGAAACTTTATATTTACTTCTAAGAACCTGGCTCCACAACTCTTTCCCATTCTTCTGGAATTGCCACGCTAGTTTACCCAAGCAAGCATTATTCATTTGATCAAGTTTTCGAAACCATAACCCTCCTTCACTTTTATGCTGAGCAACCACTTCCCAACCGATTGCACGAAAACACTTTTTCTCCACCATATCTCCCCATAAAAAATTTCACTCCATTTTATGAATGTCTTCAATACAAGCTTTAGGGATAGAATTTTCCATTATGGGATAAACTGTCACTGCTTCAAGAACGCTCTTAGCTAGACTAATTCTACCTGCAAAATAAATAGTGTTAGTTTTCTAATTTTCCATCTTAAATGACAGTTGCTCTATGAGATATTGATAGTCATGTTTCCTCAGCCTCTTCCCACTCAAAGGAACACCTAAATATTTCCCCAAGTTTATTATTTCCCGAAACTTAGAGATTTGAAGAAGTTTATTCCTTAAATTTCGGGGAACATTCTTAGAAAGCACCATCCTAGTTTTCTCTTCACTCACTTCTTGTCCAGACACATTGTTGAATTGCTAAAGGATTTCCATAACACACCTCATCTGATTTTCAGTAGCTTCACCTATGAGGAGTAAATCATCCGCAAACATAAGATGGGATATTCGCGACCCTTCTTTTCCCATCCTTATAGATTTCCACTTTCTTTTATTGACAACATCCAAGGTAAGGTAAAATTTTTTTCCATGCACAAGACAAAAAGATACGGGGACATTAGATCTCCTTGGAGAATGCCTCATTGAGGCCGAAAGAAATCACTACTAGAGCCATTCCATTTAACATTTGTTTCAACACTAGTGACGAAATCCATAATGACATTGACAATGCACTCCAGAATGTTGGTTTCTTTGAGAATTATCCATATGAAGTCCCAAATTATTTTGTCATACGCTTTTGAAATATCTACTTTGATGATGAAGAAACCTCTCTGGCCATTTTTGTTATGCATTAAATGCAGCACCTCTTTCACAACAATAAT